CAAGTTGCAGTGCTTAGTAAATCGATATCACTATGACAACAGTAATCGAAAAACTTTGAAATTGATAAAAGCCGAATTTTTGCGCGATTTAGACCTGCTACTTAAAAGCCAACATGAGCAACATAAAGTGTAGCGGATAACCTCCGTGAGCAGTAAAAAATTCTGTATGTTAATTAAATTCAAATAAAACGTAAATACATTTCAAACCTTATATTTATCATAGCTGTGATAAATTGTTTAATAAACAAAAATTCTAAATAACTCAAATTAATCTTAAATTGCGCCACAATGCTGCTGCTCAATATCATACTTCGATGCTAAGAAATGTTGGTGTATTTTCTTCCTTGCGATCTTGAAAACAAACCTGTTTTCTCACTACCTGTCTAATAAAACTGCATTTTGACAAACTTCAATTCTTCATAGTCAATCACTGGTAAAATTTTGTACAAAAGAAAAATTATGTCTGTACCCAGACATTGTTTTATTTTTCTTTTCGTTCTTTCGGAAAATATCGGTGAGCGCGCGGATTTCTCTGCATCATAATTGCATACCAGGGACAGACAAGACGAATTTAGGCCGTCAAGTTTAGAAAGCTGAATTCTATCCTTCTTTACCACAAATGCATGGGAATCTTAACTTGCTCAAACAGTAGCTTATCTTGAGTCTTGGCAGCAATTGCTAGCCTAGCATGATGGGTGTTTCCTTTTCAATATCTTTCGAGTAGAACATCTGGATAATTTTGCCCTACTAACTCACGTACAGCCAAGATTAATTGAGTTCCAAACCCATTTCCTCTATAATATGGGTGTATTCTAAGCCCATGAGAGAAAAAATGTTTGAGACTCATCAACAATGCTTACTGCACAGAGTCCAGTGGCCTATTGTCGGTAAGTGGCAATTCGCACCGTAATATTGTCCCTTATTAGCCATTGTTTAAAACAAGAAGGGGCATTGTCGTGTCCTTCATAATCATTGCCAGAAATTAGGGACAAGATGGCGCTTGCGCGTGCGCACTAAGGCCATAATGGCTGCGAATTCGTACAAGAAAATGTATGGAGATAAGGAAACTTGTTCAAATATATCGACTATGAGCTTACGGGTCTTCGGTGCACGACTCGAAACATGTTAAGTGCTGTGTAACCTTTGCATCTGGGTTAAAAATGGCTAATTAGAAGTAGGTTTACTTACTTCCCGAAGTGGCCACTTTTATCTCCCGTTGTACGCTCCATTTCTCCATACATTGTCTTAAAATCTTGCCGAAGTCACGCGAAATACTCGTCGATTAGAAGATAAACCCTTCAATGAAGTAAATTTGCACGACTCGATATCACTTCTGCGATCTAAGATGTTTCCTAAACAGTCGTAAAAAGGACGATTTTGACACTGCAAAATACTTCCAAAGGCGCATTATTTCCCTCAGTTTTCCATCTGTAGTCCAGTAATGGACGACATTATAAGTTGCGAATGACACATTTCGGTCGGGCAAAGCTTCACAACTCCAAACCTCACCGAATCGCCATTTTGTTTGTTGCTACAACTCCAGAGATGCTTCACGGGATATAAACTAGGTTCCAGGCATTCAAAAATCCTCGATTAGCCTACCAGGCTTGGTTTTAAAACAAAATTGTCACGAAAATGTCACGAAAGGTACATCCGCGTACTGTTTTGTTGCTATCAGCCGCTCGGCCGAGTATAAACCTAACATTTTCTTGCAAGGTGTTTTATTCCAGCTTTTTTCTTCGTAAAACAGATCCACAGAGCTCAAATTATTTTAACAATCGCAGGGGATACGCTTTCCCTGACTACGATCGTTTTTGTCCGTCATTTTGAAAATGAGATTCCGCTGACAATTAATCACGGGCGCGAAATGTCCACGATTCTGGCAATGATGTCCTTTGCGCTGGCGGTCAATAAATCCCCCGCAGTTTATTTTTTATCCCGCGCGCTCGACGTAATTTGAAGGGAAAATAGAGGGTGTGTGAACAGGCTACGTATTCTACGTAGAGCGGGCGTTGATTAAGGAAGCATGTTAAAAGTCTTATAAGCTCTTTTAGATCGGTTCCAGAGTACGCCGTGCTTGTGTGGCAACCCATTCCAGGTTATCTGTCTGACAAAATTGAACCCATACAAAAAAAGGTTTACCTCCAGGTTTTGAAGTAGAAAGCAATGAGGACAAAACTTCTACTTACGTTGGACCCAAGTTTTGTCAAGTTCTGTACTGCCTCGAAGATAATCCTACTGCTGCAGCTGTAACAGATCCTGATCCAGGTCCAGCCAGAGAGCTCTTCGAGGTTCAACAAAAAATACTTCGCTGCGCGTCGAAACTAATGTTTATAAATTTTTAACGGCTGCTTGACTGAAGGGTGGCCAAACCAAACAAGGATGCTGATATTAGACTCAGCTACAAGTCGACTTCACGAGTTTTTTAGCGAGCGGATCGGGCGAGCTTTCTAGGCCGCGATGCACTGTTAGACTTTCCAAAACTTCCTTCGTGCGCCATATCAAATCAGGCGAAACGTGGCTTAAATCAGTGAAAATTTTAAAACCGGAAGTCAAATTGTAAGTATTTCAATTCTGGTTCACATATTACGCTTTTTTTCTAACCCTTAATGATAATTGTTTTGACGTTTTGAGGTTTTTATCTTATCAGATGCATAGAAAGAGGTATGAATTTTTGAATAAGTAAAGACTGTAAGAAACGGAAACTCGCTTGTTGTAATTTCAACGCTTTAATCCTCGAGACCGGTACAAATCGTCATAATCTAACTCTCGAATTCTGTTTTATTTTTGGATCTGCTGTGGTGCCAAGTGAAATGGAAGTTGTGTTACGATGCGAAAACTATGTTCAAGTCGACGTTCGCTTTAACCGTTGTTGATTTCACAATGCTTTTTGTGGTTTGGCTCTCATTTCACTGTTGGTGTCACGCGCCTGTTGTTATTATCGTCTCGCGTTTCATTGTTGGTTATTAATTTATTAACAATTCGAGAGAGAGTTTATTTAGGGACGGACCATGAGAAAACTTATGGGGGGGGTGGGGGGTTGGCGAGGTACCAAAAAAATATTCACGCAAGGGAAAATTAAATAAAAAACATTATTACCGTCAATTCAAATTGTTAATAAATTAATAACCCACGATGAAACGCAAGACAATAATAACAACCTGCGCGTGACCACATATAGCGTTGTGCAATCAACAACGTTTAAGTTTAAAGCGTCGACTTGAACATAGTTTCGCATCGTAAAACAACTTCCATTTCACTTCGCACCACAGCAGATTCAAGAATAAAACAAAACAGGTAAGATTTTATTTCCTATTTAATTTCCATTTGCAGTTTACAAATAAGAGCTTGGGTTCCCTTAGCCTCCCACGCAGGTGTTTTTAGGGGAGCTCGTTTTTCATCCCTCCCCACAAACGCCGTTTGTTTGGAGGGATGAAAAACGAGCTCCCCTAAAAACGCCTGCGTGGGAGGCTGTGGTTCCTTATGCCAACGCGAAAACATGCCGAACAAGCACGCGTAAAACTAGTCATGTGATACCGTAAAATTGCGAAAATAAGTCCCGGAGCTTATATTTTTCAAAGGCCCTTTTTGAGGGGCGTATTTTTGGAGAGGCGTATATTCGGAGGCGATTATCTAAGGAGGGAAATTTGGGTTTCAAAGTCGATTGGGCTAGCCTTATTTTTACATTTTCTGCTTTGTTTTACTTTGTATTTGAGGGCTATTGCCAAGTAAAAGCCATCGCGCGGCTTATATTTGGAGGGGCGATTTAACGGAGAGTTTTTTGCGTTACGAGTTTGGGGGGCTTATATTTGGAGGGGCTTATACACGGAGGGGCTTATTTTCGGAATTTTACGGTATGTATTTATCGCGCCATAAAAATTCTCACAAAGACAAAGACACAATGGGGTTTTTGAGACCTGTTTTAAATTTGTAAGTTTGGCTGTCAAGATTAACAATTAGCATAAAATGATTTTTAAAAAAATATCATTTTGGAAATTTATCTGTGGCTGAGACATTAAAATAGTAAGGAAAAACTTGCTTATTGGACACATTACAAAAATATTTATTTGTTGCACTCACCTTGACAAAAATGCTTACCGTGGGGTAAGAGGAGGGGGGGGGTGCATCCAACTCTTAAAATAAGGCTCATCTTAAGACTATATTATAGGTTTCAGGATACAGGCTACATTTACGGTGACCAAATTTTCCTTAGCTATGGGGCCCTCGCAGCCGTTTTCGAGCACGTGGAGCTCCGCTACTAATGAGGAGGGGAGACCAGCATATCACTGACTGAATCGTTTTAATTGCGGGGATACCCAAAATCACTCTGACACCGAAATAATTCTTGGTTGTCACATGACGCCACCTGATTCAAACTAAAAAACTATCGTTTCTTCTGAGTTTCTACTTTCATCTGGTATTAGGGCATCTTAAAACCTTTTACACAAACAAGTTTTCAGCTCAAAATGGTTCTTCGTTTTGCGATACAGGACGCTTGAATTTCCAGGCTTTTGCGTGACGCGGCATTTAGCTGACGGCTAGGAGTTATGTGGGTTAAAAGATTACCAGTTTGGGAGATTTTGCCATCTAAACATTTCTTGTCTCAGAATAAATATTACTTTAATCGTTATGAGTTCTTCAAGAGAAGAATTCACGCGTAAGTAGGAACACTCGAAAACAGATCTTTCGTTTGGTTTCCGGCCGCCTTATTTCTGCTTATTTGTGCACTTGAAACGGACACAAAAACATGGCGTCTCCATACAAAGCTAGATTTGGGTAAAACGTTTTTCCGAGTATATTACACAGACCTGACTCTTGGCAAGCTTTTTGTATATTTATCTTCTTTCATTTCCCAGATTCTAGACTTTCTGTATTAAAGGCTTTCCTGTATTTTTGATGGCGTGACAGTGAAAACCACCAATAAGGTAAAAGGTTTTAGTCCTCACACGCGTTACGCAGGAGGGAGGATTGCGTGACGAGCCAAAGAAAGTCTGCGTGGGAGATGTGCCCTGGCCTGGGGTTTGTAGCGAACGGTGTGAACTTTTCATGGTTAATAGATAGATAGCCTTTATTTTAAAACGATTTGTAGAGTATAAAGGTTTCTTGGAAGGCTTTTTCTTCAACCTGGTCTTTTAAAGGAGCGAGCAGTCCACAGCCTGCATTTAACACTGACCGCTACCGGTTTTGTGGTAAGTAACTTAGGCTTTATACTAAGAAGTCATGTTTCACATGATTTTGCAATGATGGAGAAATGGAATACGGCAAAGCGAAATTGTCCCCTCCATCTAATTACTTGTCAAATGTCTATCTATGTACTTAAAAATAGTAAGTGAAAGTTTTGCCATTACTGAACGCGAAGTTTGTCTCTTTCATAAGCTGCTACAGGCAGTGTGATCACTGTGAGGGCATTGACATAATCACGAATAAGAACAAAACTCGGAGCCCAAATCCGTGGAGAAAAGATCATTTAGGAGCCAAGTAAAATACGTAATCAGCGCGTTTAAAGACTTAGATATGCATGCTTTTACTTATTTATTTCGAGCTTTCCAGCTCACCGATTGTTTATTTCAGATGGCTGGCAGTCGGCCGCCATCTTGAAATAGGCGTTTTTCAATGGGTTGGTCATGTGTTCAGCATTCTGTAAATACGGAAAGTGGGGCCATTAGGGAACTTTCAACACCGTATCACCGCCAAAAAACTTAAGGAAACACTGGCATGGCAATTTAATTTTTGTATGATTAATCTAATGCATTAATCTCTATATAATTGGGGAAGGAGGATCTTGGAGCTGGTTTTGATTTTGTAGAAACTCAGAGAGACTGAACCCAAGATTCTAAGAACCATATTTCAGTCATGCAGATGTAAAGAATGCATGGTGGCATGTTACATACTTACCAACTAGAATTTGTTTATATGACGGTAGTTCTGGATTACCACCCTGTTCCCATCGTCGGAGACCCAGGGGCAGATAGTGGGGGCGAGGGAAAGTTTAAACAGGCGAAAAAATATGGGACAAAGAAAAGTAAAGAATGGCGAGAAGAGCCCCTGGGCAAAATGTCTTACCAGACCAGTTCCAAACGGTCGCCGCCGTTCTGACTTCTGATTGGTGCCAGAAAACTTTTGTGTTTTTCTGCCCAACCAGAAGGCAGAATGACGGCGACCGTTTGGAACTGGTCTGGTAAGACATTATCACCAGGGGCTCTTCTCGCCGTTCTTTACTTTTCTTCGTGCCATATTTTTCCGCCATTTAGACTTTCCCTCGCCCCCACTATCTGCCCCTAGGTCTCCGAGGATGCCCTGTTCCCCTCTTTATAACAAAAGGGGACACAGCCGGTTATGCACTCCATTGACAATGCATTTACAGGGTGAACTAAGCAATGAAAACATAATGTGTAAAGGAATTTTTCAGTTCAAGTCTCAATGTTTATAATGTTCCTCGTTTTTATAACCTTGTCTCCTTGTCTAAATTTATAGTGTTTTCTTTATGGCATTTTTGGCAGAACAACGGCACTACTATAACTCACTGGAATAGCCCTTAAATGGCCAAGAATGCTAAGAAAACACCATAAATTTAGACTGATGTATCTTTAGTACTATTTGAACTAAATAATGATAGCTTAAATCTCCATACAAACCCTTATGATATTTCTGTTATGCAACAACGATTCTCACTCGTGAGCTTGGGGTACCTGTGGGCATACCTCTATGTATTAAAATTAGGTAACCTGCAAATTTTCAGATGTATATCTCAAAAGTAATGATTGTAAGGATTTATATGGGGAAAACAATTCGTGCCACCCAGTCATGGTTGAGTGGATTTCCATTCAAATCCTTGTAAATTTTGAAATGTTCGAACTGTCATAATTTTTTTCCCTTATAAAATGGATTAAAGGAGTTAAATTCTCTGTTGTAAACAAAAGAAAGTTTGGACCCTCTTTTAGAACAACAAAAATGAATAAAGAAAATTTTTTTATTAACCTTAGTTAATTTATACTGGTAGTATTTACACACAATTTATTAAAGACATCTCTCACTAATTGAATGTCTAATAATACCTTAATTTCAAATCTCAGTTGAACAGTGTCCCTTATTAGGAGATATGGAGTTCAATGTCCGTCTGGCTGGAAATGAAGATTACCAAGCAGTGCTGGAAATGTCCAAGGGACATTATGAAGGACATGACAATGTCCCGTCTTGTTTTAAACAATGGCTACTAAGGGACAATATTACGGTGCTAATTGCCACTTACCAACAAAAGGCCATTGGACTCTGTGCAGTAAGCATTGTCGATGAGGGTCAAACATTTTTCTCTCATGGGCTTAGAATACACCCACATTATAGAGGAAAGGGGTTTGGAACTCAATTAATCTTGGCTGTACATGAGTTTGTGCGACAAAATTATCCAAATGTTCTACGTGAGAGATACACAACAGCAAACACCCATCATGCTAGGCTAGCAATTGCTGCCAAGACTCAAGATAAGCTGCTGTTTGAGCAAGATTCCTATGCATTTGTGGTAAAGAAGGATAGAATTGAGCTTTCTAAACTTAACGGCCTAAATTTGTCTTGTCTTTCCCGGGTATACAAGTATGATGTGGAGAATTTCAAGAAAGATTTAGAAAAAAGCCAGGATTTATTCAAACAAGGAATCATGGTGATTAACTACGAACCGTATAAAGCAGTACCATCAAATGTTGACCTGTGCATAGAAGAGGGTGACTGTTTATTTACTGACAGAACACAAGGACTCTATTTGCCACAGTCCAACCAACTTCGTTCCTTCAGTCATGGATGTATTGTCCGCGCAGCTAAATTTACACAGTGGGCTGTGACGGTCTTCACAAATGACTTGGCACTTTTTCAAGGCCATCTTTTGTTAAACCTCCAAGTTGCCTGTCAGAATATTCAGGGAGACATCATATTTCGCATCAACCATGATCAGGACAAGTTCTTAAAAGAAACAGCCGTGAAGTTACTGCAGGGAACTCTTGGGCTAGAACCAGAGACAACAAGATTTGAAGACTTTCGCGCTCTTCTATTTGAAAAGGAACTATATTGACTAGACCTTTGCCCTGCCTGTCAGTAAGTAACACCTTACTCTTGCTAGTTTGTACTTCATGCAGTCAAACCTCATTAATATGGACACTGAAGGGAACATAGAGAGTGTCCATAATTAATGCATGTTTTGCATATTAAGAAGGTCATGTTATTGGTAATCTTAAAGTCAAAAAACACCTTACTACGAAGAAATGAAAAAAAGACCCGAGCATCATAAATGTTTAAAAAATAGTCCAAACTTTCACAAAACCATCATTCCACAGACTATAAATCCACGGAAACACTCAAAAATCACTATCTATAAACTACTTAATCAAAACCTGCATAACTTTCTGCATAGCTTTCAGCATAAATTGTAGTGCTTAGAACATCAACATGTTGTCAACTGAACGGTTTTTTTACCTTCAAAAACGAAACAGGCCTATTACACAACACAGTTGATAATGAAGTGTTCACATTAGTGAGGTTGTGAATCTGTTGATTCACATAGGAAGTGTCCACTGTCTAGCTTTGGCCAAAAGCTACTCAACAACTTTTTGGCAACTTTAATTTTGACATATATAATTTGGAACAACTTTCTGGCAACTTAATATGCCATTTGGACCAACTTTCATCAATTTTGGGGCAACTTGATGGAATTTTAAGTAAGGTATAGGAAATATTAAGTCCTATAATACTGATTAACAAGAAAGAAGTGTCAATTGTTCGCTTTAACTGGTGTCCATATTAAGTGGGTTAAATTTAGAGAATATGTGAGGGCTTTCCCCAGGGACAAAGGAAACTGTCCATGTTAGCCATGTGTCCTTATTAAGCGGATGTCTGTGTGGCGGGGTTTGACTGTATTTTGGTAAAGTGATTTAATGAAAGTTTGTGTGTTGCCATTAATGTCCTACTTTTTGAAAGGATTTAATGAAACCATCTGGGATCTGTTTGGTAATTCGTCTCGAGTTATTTTTAAGACCATAGATCCCAAAGGGGGTTAGACAATAGCCAATCACAAAGCCAACCGCAGTTTTCGGTTACCCGTTTGATTTAGATTGGCCAATAGAAGAAATATCAATCAGTGAAAATAAAAGAAATTTACGGTAACTTTTGCAGCAAAGAACTGTAAATTCTTAATCTGAGTTTTGTTTTCAAGATCCATAGGATTTATCAAATTTAGCTTTGTGCCTCTGTTAATGGATAAAGACTTGCTCCAACATTACGCGAGATAAAACAAGAATTATACGCTAAAAGCTTTCAAGTAAATGGATCGCGAAAGTTTTTTGAGCTCCAGCGGTTAGAGGTTCGCGGTAAACTCGGATCTAAAACTCTCCAATGGACGAAGACGTGGAGTGCGATATTGCCATTTGTTTTGTCGACGAAACGAGACTACAGAGAGATTTCTGCTAAAGCTGTGTCAGCGAAACGGAAATTAAAAAAGAATCGCCCTTCTTCTCTTGAAAAGAAGTACAGGGGGAAATCCTGTCATTTATAATTTACAGTTTGAAGAGAGCAATTTCTGGTTTGATATTTATTCTTTTAGTTATTCAACAAAAATAAGACTTGGCGTCCTACCTGCTTTATTATACAAACGACCGGTTTCAATAGACCGGCGAAATTCACTGAGGTTACGACAACTTCGAGTTAAACTGATTTCACGGGTTGTCAAAGAGTCGAGCGATTTCCTTTTCCCAGTGACATGTTTTGCACGGCGTTTAGTCATGCGGAATCTACACGAAACATCCACGCAGCGCGCGAGGTAACTTTATCCCGATTGTAAAAATAACTCGAGACGATTTACCTATGGAACAGGGTGCGTATGGGGGATGCCCTCTCTGTCCCCTTTATCCTCTCTTGGTAGAGAAGGGACAAAGAAAACTGTCCATAAAAATGAGGTGTCTATATTAAGTGGGTGTAGGTAAAGCAGGGGTCATCTGTATATATATGCATCTCACGTAAACACCCCCATACAGATGGAAAAATGGGAACCCTGAAGACCTCAAAGACCAATCATTACCCTCTCTTCCTGCTGGTCACACAGGCAATGTCATGTGTCCCTCACAGGTAGTGGAACTGGATAAAACTAAAACAAGAGATGGTTGGCTGGTAGCGTGCCTGGCAGGTGTTGAGGGGGGTAGGGGGTGGAGGGGAAAAACTTGGAGGAGTGGTTTTGGAAAGAGAGGAAAAGGCTCCCTTTCTCCTCTCCCTTTTGCTATTTTTCTCCTCCTCCCCTCCCCTTTTTCTGCCTGCCCCACAGGCTAGCCATTTTGTGGGTGAACACAAGACTGCCGGGTCGGTGTCGTGTGGAATTTTACCATGGGCCTGTTTTGGAGATGCAATCACTTCTTTTATTGAATATTACTCAGTTGCGTAGGAAGCTTGGTTCAAATTCGTCCCCCAAAACACTCCCATTGTGCAATAAGACACAGCATCAACTCCTTGGTAATCTCACTGATAGGTTCTTTCTAGATGTACCGAGGCACAGATCAGCTGCAACAAAAGAAACAATACAACCAAATAATAAAGCCCCGAGAACTCTATTGTTTGATTACTTTGTTTCTTTTGGATGACGGTACAGTATGTTGCCCAGTATCCGGACGGTACCAGTATCCGGACACTTAGTTATCGAAACAAAAAGAAAGCTGAACATTTCAGCTTTAAGATAAAAGTTGTGGCAAAAGCCTTCGAAACAGTCGCAAGGTGAATAAACATTTCATGGCTAATATTTACGCTGTTTACTGCGCAGTAAAATTAATGCTGCTCAGAAAAGGGTAGCGTGATATTTTCAAAGAAACGGTTTTATATTTAAAGTGAAGATACTTAAAGAAGGCAGGTTCTCAGATTCTTCTTGAAATTCGATTTGTTTGGAATAACGGAGGCCACTAAGCTCATGTCATGCCCAGTATCCGGACAGTTTTTTCTTTGCGAATCGATGAATTAGCTGTGTACAAAAAATAACCATAATTAAAGCTGGATATAATATAGTCGTAAAATGTAATTCTACTCAACTCTGATCACTCATTCGGAGGCGACTTGATTTCGTGTGCGCCGCTTGTTTCGCGTGACTGAATTTTCTATCTATAACCGAAAGGTCGGAGTTGAACTTGGAATTCTCATACTTTCCCCAATGTCATAAAGGGATTGAGAGATGTGAAAGAAGGAGGAATTAGTGCTAGAAAAGCAGGATTATTGTAGGGTCTGTAGGGACTAAGCATGAAGAAATCAACTCTACAGGTAAGACTACATAGGAGAGTGACCTTTGTTCGTCGCATTGAGGTCCCTTCCCCAAGCTTTTTTTTAAAATAAAAAATGAAGAAAAAAAGTCGTTTGCAGATTGGTTAATTGAGCTAGCAAACCGCGGATTCGGTATGTCCACGGATGCCTTCCTTAAATCAGTGAAAAATTTCCTAGACAAAGAAGTAAGAATTATGCCATTTAACAACCGCTCGCGTTCCCCACCATACCCCAGTCATTTGTTGTGTTTTATTTCACGACGCCAGGTTATATTTTTGGAATCGTTTGCCACACTACTTTGCAAGTGCAAGAGAAGTTTATAAGTCGCTTACCTGTCGAAATTTGTTGTACAATTACGTTGTTACACTCTTTTTTTTTTAAGAAGAATGTTGTTTTTCCAGCCCAGGCTGAATATTCTCATTTTTCTGCCGATTTTAGGCTGAAAATATTCTTGTATTATTCTTAGATTATAGCTCATGACATTTCCGTTTTAGAATATATTGGGGGTATCAGTTATAGTTAGTGCAGGTTTTCTCGTTTTGTTGCCTAGTTTTCCCCTTTAGAGAATGAAATAAGTGGAAAACATATTATTGTATTGTATTTACAGCCTTTGAACACAAAAATATATCCTTTTCAATATCTCAGTCTGGGGTTTATTCTTAAAATATTCTTAAAAGTTTTGCGAATTTCAGCCTTGATATTCTTATAAAATATATTCTTATAGAAAAAAAAGAGTGTATTGTTGTGTCCGGATACTGGGGCAGCTGTCCGGATACTGGGCAACACAGGAGCTGCGCAAAAATATTAATTTCGCGATGGAAACAAAGGCAAAAGAGTTAAACTGTCTTTCGTCATATTAAGGACTAAATAGATTTCCTCTGGGCCAAATTTCAGAGCTCTTGCGACTAACAAAGCGAAGTTATTACAATGTTAAACTGAAGTGTCCGGATACTGGGCAACATACTGTACCTGCAGAAAGACCCCGTTGATATTCCATCTCTTGACCGAACTAGAAAAGTTTCCGCGGAGAGGCAATTCATTTCTCAGCGAGTTCCCCCTGATCACGTAGTCGAATAAAGCTGGGTATGATGTGGATAATTGTCCAGATCAAGGAGGATGATCATCCAAGGTGGATAAGTAAAAGCTTCCGAAATCAGCATAATTCTTTGCATCACACGATAGTCGAATTCAATAATGGTTTTTCAAAAATTTTCCTAGTTCTTAACAAGCGTACTTCCCCGTGACTTTCTTCAAAACTTAGGCCTATTCTTCGGCACGGTCGGACTCAGGATAAAAACCGATATTTTTTTTCTTGCAGATACCCCTCAAAAAGTAGATAACATCCACCATGCAATATAGTTTGCATTTTCTTGCATTTCTTCCTTTCTGTTTTAGTCAGAAACTCGACAGCCATTTCGTCTTCGAATAATTGTGAATGCAGTTATTAAGTTCACCATCGCCCAAGGAGCCTTTCTTTCAAGCAAATAAACCATCGGTCAACCTCGTTTCTAATCAATGAAAATACCATCGAACCGATGGTATATTGATCGCGTCTTTCAAATATGCTAAGTGGCACAAGTCGCACAGAGTAGGTTTGAAGAATTAACCTGGGGATTGGAGCCAGTCAGAAATTAATGAATTTTGCTCTCGAACGACATGCGGCCTCGGTAGACAAAACCCTCCCAGTTAATCCACCGGGTCCAGAGGAGTTTCGTTTGAATATAATTATTACATTAAATATTCATCTTCATTGAAAAAAATGCATATGTTTGTGTTACCCGCGGTTTCCTG